GCTTCTACCAACTTTATTTCTAATTCAGAGTGTTTAGACACCATGTTGTAGTTAGTAAAGCAAGTCAAATTTTGGGGATACCGCATATGTCATTGGGGATTTATGTTTGAAAAGAGCTATAAAATCACTATCTTATGTCATATTTTAGTAAATACATTGTTCTATTATCAGCTAGAAGTAACGAAGTGATTCTATTTAAAAGTAACATCCAAACTGATTTTGCCTCTATGACATAAGGTTGTTGATAAAGTCTTCTATATGAATTATCAAGTTACCAATTTTCGTTGAAGTTTTGATTTCTTTAATCATAGTACGTTTTACTGTCTAAGCAAACTGGTCACGGTTATTAGCCGGTCTTGTAATGGTTTTAAATGATGGTTAGAACCAAATAGATTTGTATGTACAGAAAACTAGCTATTCTTCGAACACATTAAATTACTCATCTATTACAGGTAAAATTTATCTTTTTCTTTGACGTTGCCACTAGATCACAGTTGGTAGCCAACCCGCCGCCCAAATCGACAGAATTTTTGTCTGTAGATTGTCGGCTCAATGTAGCAACAGTGGTAGAAGGTGGTGATTGGTGGAAAAAAAAAAATAAAATACTTACATGAAAGCTTATTTGTTGGAGAGATCATAAAACAAATTTGTTCTTAAAATATAGAAATTTGTTCTTAAAACAAGATGGTCGATGACTTGATCCCTAATTCTAGATTTGAACGAGTTAACAAGCAGAAACTCCCTTGTGACCATTTCGTTTATGCGGATTTATATTACACTACCGCATGAGGAGGATTCTTATGTTATAAGTTAAAATATTAGCTAAGACTTGACAAAGCAAATTGAGTTCCATCTTTGTGGATTCAAAATGAATCATAAAAGATCCTACAATATGTTGTTATATAATTATACATGCATATTAGTGGCTTCATAATCCTGAACCCTTTTCCACTTATTGTTAATAACAAAAGTAATTCAACTACGATGCATGGATTTTATGAAGTTAGTGGCATTTACCGAATTGCGAAGCACTAGCTTTTGGCGACGGCCGAAATCGGAGACTTAATCTTTCCCTACCTCGCCCTTCACTCCATCTCCCTTCCCTTTTTCCTTTCTTTCCTTTTGTTTACTATAAGCGTATAGCTTGATTGAACTGGTTCTTTGTGGACGGGAATGCAAGAAGTAGGAGTTGAAAGAGCTTTTCAACCAAGAAGCTTTCTTGTTATTTTTGTATTAAAAGAAAGACTTTGAAATATCTAAGGAAACTTAATATTCCTACGAACCGACCTAAGCTTGCTTATCTTTTATATTCTTTTACTTTTTCTTTGTTTTCAAGCTACGGGAAACAAAAATATAAAATTGAGGCGGTGCGTGTGTGCTCTTAGAGATACTTAACTAAACCCAGCTTTCCTTCTAAGTTTTAGTTAAGAAAATATATATGACTAAAGACAAAAATGTTGTGAAGAAAGGAAATTGGACCGCATAACATTTGTTTTAAGCTTTAGGAAATAACCCAAAAGATGAGGCGATGTGGAGTAGTCAACCATTACATAAAATGAATGAATAAACATAAGAGATCTAGCTAGTAGAACTTCCTATATTGGAGGTACTCTTTTAAAATTTAACAAAAGCCACAAAATGGAGGCGGTGGGAGAAGAATGATTTCAAAATAATATTTGTTTTCTTTCTTTTTTTTGGGTTTCTTTACTTCTTTAACAAAGCCACATACTAAGGAGAGCAATGGGTAAAGGGGACAGGTCAAAGTCCATCCCAATCTACAAAATAACCTTTTTGTTTGAAGGGGTCATGAACTAGAGAAATAACCTCAGAAAAATTCTTGAACTAAGTGGGGCAATTTCTAAAACTTGGTTTGCAAGCTTTCCACCGAAGCTATAGAGAGTTGAACATAGAAATTGTCTTCTAGTTACCTTGTTTAATGTATAAGTTAGGCACTTTGTTCGTTCAAGCTTTTAGGGAAATTTATTTTAATATTAAGTTAATTTTGTTCTTTGTAAACAAAATTCCTTTAATAGACACCTTTGATGTTGTTATTATTCGTTTGTGCTACTTTCTTTATTCTAGTACTAGTGATGTCTGGTCGCGCAATGCGCGACCCTGGCCCAATATATTTGTAGATCTTAGAAATATTTGTATCTGAAAAAAAAAAATTTGTATTTGGTTCAATATATTTTAGAAATGTTTGAAGAATTTAGAAATATTTTATAAGTGTGATCATAGAAATGTTTGTATTTGGCATAAAAAGAAATTGTATTTGGCCCCGTACGTTTTAAAAATGTTTAAAGATTTTAAAATATTTTATAAGCGTTACTTCTTAAATATAAATAAATTGATCAAATATATTTCTTGAAGTAAATGCTAGACAAAATATAAAAGTATCCTAATAAGTTAAAATATTAGTAAGATGATTTATTAATGTTCTCCATTGGTTGTGACAAATCAATACTTAGTTTTGGAGATTTATAATAGCTTTGTAATAAGCTTCCTCTTACCTCCAAAAAGTATACGCTTAATTGTTGGAACTATTTCTTCCAAAAGTTTATAGATAGTAAAATATCAAAAATATGATTTTGAAACTGGTTAATTGTTGTAACTGGTTGATCACAAATATGAGAATGAAAATAATGTAAATTTGCATAGGTTTCAAGTTATACTAAAAAAGAACTCACCTCACCATGGCAAATAAAAAAAGAAAGAAAGTAAAAGATAGCCTATTAAAAATTGACAAATTTATTTTTTTCTGTAGGTAAAAATGATTTATAAAAACACAAATAAACGTAGAAACGCCATTCCTTTCCTCTCCACCTCAAATTCATAAAAGGCTTCCCCATAAATTAGTTAGAAGAAGCAATCTGAACTATTTATATGATGAGGAACTAAAAAAAGTCCAAAAACCAAATCCAAAAAAGTATATTCTTGAAAGTCCGAACATAAAAAAAAACGCGCTTCATTTGTAAATAAAATAAAATAATAATAATAATAATTGGTCAATTAAGAGTATGAAATAAAATTAAAAGCAATTAGACAAAGAAAAAACATACTTCATAACTGACCGTATACGGAAAAAAAAAACAGAGACTCCATAATTAAAAAAGAAAACCACTCTAATTGAATGAAACATAAAAAAAAAAAAGTAATTTAAAAAATCACATTATGTAACAAAAACCTAATTAATCAATTCAATCCAAACAGAACTAAAATCATAAAAATTATAGGCTAACTAACCATATAAGAAATCACATCATATTACCTGACAACGGTTACGGTAGTTGTAACAGATGGACGTATAAAAATAATAGTAATAACACTATTATTGAACGGAAAAAATAAAAAATAATAAAAGCCAAACAAATGATTTGTGAAAATAAAATCATTTAAATTTTAATACCTGTAATGGCACCACCACAACGACCGAAGCAAGATTAATGAAAATTTTTTTTCTCCTTTGTGTTTATATAGAGAGGTAAAGAGAATATTTGTTGAACTCGAAATTATATTCGATTAGGATGTAGTTGATCATCACTAATGAAAAAATTGAACATGATAATAGGAAAGAAGTATATTTCACCACATATTCTCAATTGATGATTGATGATGATTTTTTTTTTGTTTTTTTTTTTATTGTGGAGAAGGGATTGATTAGAAAGTCGATTGTCGTGGAGATGAGAATGAGGATTTGGGTTTTTTTTATGAACCCGTGGTTTTTTTTTTGGCGAAAATAGGAGGTGAGGGTGGATTTGGACTGCATTTTCCTTTTAAGTCTAGGAGATGTATAAATAAAAATTTATTTTAAAAGTATGATTTGGAAATGCTACATGGCAGATGGTGATACTTTCTCTAAGTGTGGTTTTTGTTTCTAATATAGTAAGATTTTTATTTTTATTTTTTTTTTTAAGAACTTAATAGCTCTTATGTTCCAATATTTAGATAGATCAAGATAAAATTTTGTGGCTCCAATTTGACACTAACTAATAGTATTCAACCCCATCCACAAAAGAATTATTGTTCTTTAAGTATCATAATTTTACAAATTCAAAGGCATATTTCGTTATAGATGTTGAAAGCGCCGCACGCTCTCTCCCGCACCAGCAAACCCTAGCGGCCGCATCCCTATTTCCGGCCACTATGGCCGGAGATACACCACCGACGTCCCCACTGGGTCGTCAAGAACATTCGCAAGCCTTTTTTTAAAAATAAAACAATAACCAAAACATCCATGTTCCGAACCCTACTGGTTCGAAACCCCCGATTGGAGTAAAGCAAGTTCAATACTTCAATGGTGTTCCAGAGTTGAAATACGAAGATGATGAGTTTGAGGTCTTAATTGCACCACATCTCATGCCGTTGGTTGGTAAGTTCTCATACGGAAGACCGAAGATGGAAGAAGTTTGTGCTGAATTTAAGAAAATTGGTTTTAAGGGGTCTTTCGATCTTGGACTCATGAATTCGCGCCATGTTCGCATAAGGTTTGAAGTTGAAGAGGATTACCAAAGGTGATGGATTGGCTCGATTTGGGGTATTGGAGGCTTTCACATGAGAATTCTCTCAAGTGGAAGCCAGGTTTTAAGTTTGAGGAAGATCCTCCGATTGTCCCAATTTCTCGATGCAAAAATTGCGTTGGAGTAGACGCATCCGTCCGTGCTGTATTCAATGGTTTCCGCTATAGGAAAACCTCTCCAGGTTGATGCGCCAAAAATGAATCTGAAAAGACCGTCCATAGCGCGGTTTTGTGTGGAGGTGGACTTAACTAAGGAATTGCCGAAGTCCATTCGTATTGGGAAAAAAGGGAAAAAGCAGGACCACTTCTTTACATATGAGTATGTTCTCTTCTACTGTACGAATTGCAACAAGATTGGACACAAGGGTTCTGAGTCTAGAAGTTGAAAACTCAGCAAAGTGCTATCAGTTTCAAAATAAATAGACGAAGCAAACAGAAGCTAAGGGGAAGAATGATAAGCCAGCTTCGGAAAATTCTTCAAAGAATGTGGGCGCAGGCAAAGCTAAACAGGTCAAATTTATTCTGCCTAAGCCTACTCCGAAATGGCAACCGAATCCTACAACCAAAAAAACGAAGTGATGAAGTGGAGAAAGAAGCTTCAACTTCGGGGTTCACAAGAAAAGAAAAGGATAGTGTTGTGGTTGATATCGATGGCAGTGTTACAGCGTCGGCAAGCCAACTTGTTCCAGGAAAATCCAATTCAAGCTCGGTCACTCCACCATCAACAATTGTTGAGAAGTCAAGTGATGTAGTAGAAACAACCCCAGTGGATGTTAATGGTCAAAATGCCCTAACAGTTTTGGCGGATGTTGAAGATGAAGTGCATGCGCAACAGCGTGCTGTCTGTCAAAAGCACGCTGTCAGTAACGCAGTTGAGCCGGGTAATATACAGGAGACATAGCGTGCTGCTTCACCACAGTGCGCTGTCAGTATGGCAGAGGACACACCAACAACTGAAACTATCGATGTGCAGGAGAAACAGCATGCTGACTCGCCAAAGCGCGCTGTTACCATAGAAAATTCTAGAATTCTAGTTGATAATCAGGATGTAATTTCCAAGGATTATGATGATGCGAATGATGCGGATGATGAGGAGGATGAGGTTGAAGAGGTTTTTTCAGAATTTGTTCCTCCACCTTTTGTATCGAATCCACTCTCGCTAATTTCACCATCCCATGGTAGAGAAAAGTTATATTTAAATGAGGATGGATGCATTGATATGAACTCATCTGATTTAGAAGTCATTCGTGAACAAACGAATCGTTGGTCTGATGGAGAAATAGTGGATGCCCTTTTTGATGATGAATTTATCACTGTTAAAAGGAAGAGAGGAAGAAAGACCAAGGAAGAGAGACTCAAGTTACAGGAAGGCCTTGTTCCAAGGCGTTCTCCCCGGTTCTTGTAAATATTTTACCCCAAATATTTTTAATGATTAGTGCAATCATTTGGAATGTTAGAGGTATTCGGAAAGATGCATCACAGAGACGCCTCAAGGCTTTAATTAAGATGCATTTGATAAAACTTTTTGTTCTACTTGAGCCGATGTTGGAGAATGCTAAAATTGATAAAATTGAAATTGTTCTTGGATTCGATTACGCTGTGGCTTCGGATTCTGGTAAAATCTAGTTTTTTAGTAAGGTGGATTATTCATGTACTGTGGTTGGTGGTTTAGAGCAGTGTCTTCATTTGGAAATCAGCAACGCTGCAATGGATTATATGTTTTTCATTAGTGCTGTTTATGCGAAATCGACTAAAATTTGCAGGCGTGAATTATGGGTAGAACTTGTATCTTTTCGGTAGGCGAATTCAAATTCGCCATGGCTTGTCGGTGGGAACTTCAATTTGATTCGGTCTTTGACAGAATACTCAAGCATTGCGGTGCAAGACCATGGTGCTATTGATGAATTCAATGAATGTGTTGATTCCTGTGACCTTACTGAGCTGAATATGGCGGGCGAAGAGTTCACATGGGGTGGGACGAGAAATACGGGTTGGGTCTGTAAAAAGCTTGATAAAATTTTGCTTTCGCCTGAGTGATTATCACTTTTCCCAGTAGCTTCGGTTGAAAACTTGAGCCAAACAACTTCTGATCATTGTCCAGACCCAAAAAGCTTGATAAAATTTTGCTTTCGCCTCAGTGATTATCACTTTTCCCAGTAGCTTCGGTTGAAAACTTGAGCCAAACAACTTCTGATCATTGTCCAATGTTGCTACAATATGACTCAAATCAGGAATCAACTCCGAAGGTTTTTTGGTTTCAGAAGATGTGGCTGAGGCGATCTGACTTCCTTGCGGTTGTGAAGGAAAATTGGGACCAGCCTATTGATGCTCAAGGCATGTTGGCCTTTTCATTGAAGCTTTGAAGATTGAAGTGTATATAGAAGGAGTGGAACAAACTGATTTTTGGGAATGTATTTGACAATTTCAAGGCAGCTGAAAATTTGGTTCGTTCTCTTGAGATTCAATACGATGCTTCAGCTGCGGATGATGATTGGATTGCACTCAGCCAGGCTCGTGCTCAGTTGTTGTATAAGTTGAAAGAACATGAGGATTTGTGGGCGAAAAATGCGAATGAAATAGTTGAGGGAAGGTGATTCGAACTTCATCATTTTTCCATGCATCTTGACGTGAAAAGAAGGTGCGGCTTGGTCTTTACAAAATTCAGTCAGAGGATGGAACGTGGTTGCGAGATAGATCAAGCATTGAGACTCAAGCAATTTCTTTTTTTTTTTTTTTGGAATTTACTAATAGAAGAGCGAGGGTTCGACAATATGGCAAGTCAGGAGACTTTTCTTCAGCACATTCCAAATGTTCTAGATGATGTGGATCATGGTCTCCTTTTGGCGGATTTGACAATTGATGAGATTAAAGCTGCTATTGATGGTTTGGATGGGAACCAGGGTAGGACGGATTTGGAGGCATTTTTTACAAAAATTGTTGAGATATTATCTCTTTGGGTTTAATGCATGTGAAGAATTTTTGTCGGCGTTCCAATCCCTAGGGCAATTGGTAGTACTTTGATCACTTTGATACCGAAGAAAGCTTCTGTAACGACCTTCTCGGATTTGCACCCAATTAGTTTGTGCAACTTTGTTAATAAAGTATTCACTAAAGTCCTCACTAAGCAATTGAAGAAGGTTCTATCTAAGTTAATCTCGGAGGAACAATCGGCGTTTTTATCTGGACGAGATATTTTTAGCTTAGGACCTCTGTCAATTCATCAATAACAAAGCTGAAGGGAACAATGTTATTTTAAAGGTGGACATGATGAAGGCTTTTGATAGAGTATCATGGAGTTTTCTTCGAGAGGTACTTAAACATTTTGGTTTTCCAATAACTTTTATAAATTTGATCCTTGCCAATCTTTCAGGAAGCTGATTCTCTGTCCTGATCAATGGTAGTCCGGCTAGTTTTTTCCAATCCACGAGAGATATAAAGCAAGGGGACCCCCTTTCTCCTTACTTGTTTCTTTTAGTGTCAGAAGCCATGTCGAGGAGGTTGAATTTCCTCATGGACAGTCGCAAAATTGCCCGATATGGATTGCAAGTCGGATTTCTATCGATCTCTCATTTAGCCTTTGCAGACGACCTTGTGATTTTTACTAGAGGAATGAAGAAGTCGTTGGAGGAGCTGAACAAATTTTTTGTTGAATACGAACTTGGTTCGGGACAAAAAATTAATAGGCAAAAAAGTGTGTTTCTTGTGGATGACAAGTGTAGTGCCTTTCGGAGTCAGATAATTCAAAGGATGCTAGGTATGCAACAAGGTTCTTTTCCTTTTATTTATCACCGGCTGTATAAGGGGAGGAAGAAAATTGCCACTTTTCAATTTCTTTTTGGTGCGCTTGACAGAAGATTATTTAGTTGGAAGAATAAGTTGTTAAGCCCAGGTGGCCGTCTTCTTCTTATTAAGCATGTATTATCGGCTATTCCTTTACATGTTTTTGCAGCTATTGAGCCTCTAAAGGGAATCCTTGCAGAGTTAGAACACCGTTGTCAAACATTTTTGTGGCAAGGCACGGATGATCATAGCAAGCGGCATTGACGTGTATGGGAGGCTCTTACGTTCCCAACTCGGGAGAATGAATTAGGGCTGAGGAGGCTTGGTGACATCCTCAAGTCAAGGGCTATGGTCGAAATTCATTCTTTCTTTGTCTTCATTTGCTCGAGACAAAAGTTCTTGGACTTGAGTGAAAAAAGTCAGCTTGGAGGCATCTTCTTTTGCTAAGGTTTTGATTAAAGATGGTAGTAGAAGCTTCTGGCATGATGATTGGTCGGAGTTCTTTGGGGTAATCAAGAGGGGACACCGCCTTCAACAGAATCGACCATCCAGGAATTCTATGAGCATAAGGATTTGGAGGAATTTCAGTCGAATCTGTCGGCTGAATCTTTGGCTTTTCTTCGGGTTTATGAGGTTAGCTACATGGAGGGAGAAGACATTTTAGTTTGGAAGCCAACAACATCAGGAGAGTTTTCTGTAAAGTCGGCTTTTGAGGCGATAAGACAAAGGAAACCGGAATATAATTTCCCTAGGCATTATTGGCACAAGATGATACCAATCCGAACTTCCTTTTTCATGTGGAAGTTTTGCAATTCTTTGCTGCCTTTTCCCAATAATCTAGCGCGCATGGGTATTCATTGCTTTCCATCAGTTTGTTTGCGCTGTAAAAGAGGCGAAGATACTATGACTCATTTCTTCTTCGAATGTGTAGAGACTCGGAAGGTTTGGCAGCACTTCATGGGGCTCTTTGATCTCACCATGCCATCTGGTCCATTGGAGAATTTCTTGTCTATTTTGTGGTCTAGTTGCAGCTTTTTGATAATGGTTTATTTTTTACATAAAAGCATCACAATTAACTCTGAATTTAGTAAGAAATTAGGGGTATTCCTTAGTATTAGTGCATTTCACTTAACTAGTTTTTGTGTTTTTATTAGGTTAGGACTTGATTGAACAATTACTGAAAATTGGGGCCAAAGGAGAAATTTGTGGGTTGCTGGATACAATTTTGCTGAGCTGGTCGAAAAAACACTCCCAAGACACAAAGCACCTTGACATTAATAGTGTGTCTCTCCTTAGATTTTCAAAGGCATGCTTGTCCCCTTGGCCGAAATTCCAACCACCCATGCTGATCAATGAGGTTGCTGCTGCCACTGCTGGAAGAAGAGAAGAAGACCAGTCAATTTCGGATTCCAGACACAGGGCCTAGGAAGGATTAAACAATTCACAAGCATGGGGAGGCTCTCTTGGTTGAAGAATCGGCTTCAGGGCTCTATAAAGGGGAGCTGCACTCTCAGAAATGGGCATCTTTGGCTACACCTTTCAGTTGCCAAGAACACACAGAAAAACTCCAGAAGAAGGCAAGAAGGAAGAATGAACAGCAACAGCTCAGTAGGAAGCCAAGTTGAAGAATAGCCATCCCAGTCACTGCCTCACTTCCATGAGTGAACTCTTTCACTCTCAGGAGTGGTTCAAAACTGCACAAACTTTTTTCTCGTCTCTTTACTGTTAGCTTGAACTTCGTTTTATGATGCATACTTCTATGATGTCTTTTGATGTAGTAGATGTAGCATTAATCTGCATGAGTAGCTAAGTAGCTTCCAGGGGTTAATCTCCTCAACCTATGTTGAAGTTGTTGTAATGCACTGGTTCTGTTCTTTGTTTTGAAGTTGAAAGTTTTTTCTACATTCATTTACTTGATCACTAAATTGAATGCATATTAGAACTAAGGGAGATCTGGAAAGATAAACTTAGTTTGGATTGTTTCAACTTCAACTTATGACATAGAGGTAACAGTCTATGGTTTTAACTAAGATAGGAATATACTTTGTTGACATGAGCATTCATGTAAGCCTGAGATCTTAATGACTTTATAACTGGAATCAATCATTGGAAAATAGATTGTTAAGGTTGCAAAGATGGTTCTAGGAAAAATGGAAACTGACTTAGAGAGATTGCTTAGAGATTTCTTTATTCCACAACAAGAAGAAGTCCAATCCCCTTTAGTGTTCCCCGATGTAGAGGCAACCAATTTTGAGTTAAAACCACAGATGATCCAATGGACTCAGTCAACCTGCCCGTTCCATGGATTACCTCATGAACATCCTAATGATCATATCAGAAGTTTCTTGTGTTTATGCAGTACTTTTAAAATTCAAGGCTTATCCAATGATGATATTAGATTGAGGTTATTCCCTTTCACCTTGCAGGATCAGCCTAAGCATGGTTCAATACATTGTCCAACAATTCTATCTCCACTTGGGAAGAGTTAAGACAATGCTTCCTTACAAAATTCTTTCCACCCACAAAAGCTGCACAACTCAGAACAACAATAATGAATTTCAAGCAGCATGGAACTGAAACACTTCATGAAGCATGGGAAAGACTGAAGGAAATGATCAGGAAATGCCCTCAGCACGGTTTGGAAGAGCATCTCCAACTGATCATCTTCTACAATGGGCTGCTACCAACTACAAGGGACTCCCTTGATGCTGCAGCTAGTGGTGTGTTTATGATGAAGCCGGTTGATGCAGCGAGGCAGTTGCTTGACAATATAACCACCAATCATTCAAGATGGCAATCTGATCCAAGGGCAAGTACAAAACAGCCAGGAGTGATGGAACTTGACCCCCGTACACACTTGCAAGGACAAATGGCTGTTATGATGAATGAAATGACAAAACTCAGGAGTGAGCTGTCCAAATCCAAGGCTGAAGTGTGTGTGTTATGTGATGGATCTCACAATTTGGATGACTATCCCTCCAAAATGGAAGCTGTCCAGTTTGTCAGACAGGGCAATGCTGGAGGATTCAACAACTTCAACAATTGGAGAAATCAACAACATCCTAACTGGAACAATGCACCACAACAAGGGAACTATCAGAGGCCTACCCAACCCCCAGGATTTCACAGACAAGATGGCCAACCTCCCAACTATCAAAATCAACAGCGTTCTAACCAACAATACATACCAAGGGAAGATGAATGAATTTCTGTGCAAAATGCAATCAAGAATTTGGCTGTGTCTTGCAAAAGCTTGGAAAATCAGTTGGCTCAGATTGTAAAACAAAATGCTGAAAGACCATCTGGCAGCCTACCAAGTGACACCATTGTCAACCCCAACAGCAATGATCAAGAGCAAGTAAAGGCTATCACTCTCAGAAGTGAAAAACAACTCAATCAGCCAAGTGAAAAAGTCACTCCTGTGAGTGACCCTGCATGTAATAAGGAAACATTTTCTGAGAAAATATCTGATAATGATGATTTGGTTGAACAGGAGCAAGCAGCTGAAAAATCAGAAATGGAGGAAATTCAATTCCCAGCACCGATTAAGAAGCCACAAGAGCCAGTTCCAATACCCCCATATCCGGTAAAACAAAAGAAGGCCAAGATGGATGAAGGACTCAACAGGTTTATTCAAAATTCGGAAAGCATACATATTAATGTAACACTTGTTGATGCACTTAAACAAATGCCTAAATACTTCAAGTACTTGAAAGATTTGGTGGCTAATAAACCACAAGTGCACGACTCTGCTTTTGTCACTCTAAATGAAGAATGTAGTGCAGCTATTCTGAGAAAATTGCCACCTAAGCTAAAAGATCCGGGTAGTTTCACTCTTCCTTGTACGGTAGGAATCAGAGAATTTTTGAAACCATTACTAGATCTTGGTGCAAGCATAAATCTCATGCCATTGTCTGTATTTAAATCACTTGATCTGGACAAATTTTTGGTACCTACTAACATGACATTGCAGTTGGCAGATAGGTCACTGACCTACCTAAAGGGAATCTTACATGATGTTCTTGTGAAGGTTGGGAATTTCGTTTACCCAGCAGACTTTGTGGTTTTGGACATGGAAGAGGACAGAGATGTGCCCATCATCTTGGGGAGACCTTTTCTGGCAACAAGTGATGTAATCATTAAGGTGAAAAAGGGAGAAATCACACTACACTTTGATGGAGAAAAGGTTACCTTCAACATCTTCAAAAATATGAGATATCCTGTTGAAGTCTACAACTGCTACATGGTAAGAAGTGTAGAAGTAGAAGAAGCAGTGACAGAAGAAATACTGCAAGTTGAGCTCCTCAAGGAACTCTTATGCCCAGACAATAATGAGGAACAAGAAGGAGGGGATGAGTACAGGATCACTTGCCTGAGTTACCTGAACCACTCCCCCAAGTGGCATCCTAAACAACAACCCTTTGAACTGTTAGACCTGACAAAGGAAGGAAGATGCTTCAAACCGTCAATTGAAGAACTACCTCATCTGGAACTTAATCCTCTGCCTTCACATTTGAAGTGCGCCTATATTAGAGCAAGTAACACGTTACCTGTGATCATTTCTTCTATGCTTACAGATACTGAAGAGGATAAGCTGCTAAGAGTGCTGAGGTTGCACAAGGAAGCCATTGGATGGTCAATTGCAGACATTAAGGGCATCAGTCCTTCCATATGTATGCACAAGATCCTACTTGAAGACGATGCCAAGCCAACCATTGAAGGACAAAGAAGGCTTAACCCAGTCATGAAGGAAGTGGTAAAAAAGGAGATTATTAAGCTTGCTGACGCTGGAATCATCTTCCCAATATCTGACAGTAAGTGGGTGAGTCCAGTACAGTGCATGCCCAAGAAATGAGGAATCACAGTAATAAAAAATGATCTCCCGGAGCTGATCCCTACAAGGCTGAACAATTCATGGAGAGTGTGCATGGACTACAGAAAGCTTCATAAAGCTACCAGAAAGGACCACTTCCCACTTCCCTTTATTGATCAAATGCTAGATAGATTGGCTGGATTCATGTATTACTGTTTCTTGATGGTTTCTTAGGTTACAACCTACCCCTATGGCACATTTGCCTTTAAGAGAATGCCATTTGGACTGTGCAATACACTTGCAACATTTCAAAGATGTATGATGGCCATTTTCTCTGATATGGTGGAAGACATAATTGAGATCTTTATGGACGACTTCTCAATTTTTGGTAAGTTGTTTGATGCATGCCTGGACAACCTTGGACTGATATTAAAAAGATGCATAGAAGCCA